CTGGGCGACAACGGGGCAGCAGCGTGGCTCTAGCCCCGGCCGCGCTGCTCCTCACGGGGGAGGGAGCGCCTTGCCCTTCCCCCGCCGGAAAAGGCGTCTTCAACGGAGCAGGTTACGCTTTTTTACTTGAGTAGTGAACACATCTCTCCACCCACCAGCTGCTTCCTCTCTTCTGATTTTAAATAAAAATACGTGAGAATTGAGGTGGAGCTTTGAAATGAAGAACGGAGACACAGGAGAAGCACGGAGGAAGTTTTAATACCATCCACTCTCTAACCCAGAGTTCATCTGTAGCTTCAAAAATAGCTGGTCTTAGCCCAAAATCCCAAGAGAGCGCTCCCGGTTCTCTGCCCCCACCAGCTCCCTCACGGCTGGTCACTCTCCCACCCCTTTCCCAGCCCAGCCGGCCAGTACCACAGTCCTGCGTAGCTTAACAGACACGTTTCTTCCAAATCTGGCCCAGTCTCTGACAACCAGTTTCTTCATCCATTCTTGCAACTGGTGAAGAGAGTACTGCACGTAGTCTTCAACAGCACTGAAAACATCTTTGCAAAAAGGGTATTTGGTATTTACATCTGATTTTCAGTTTTCTTTAGGGACGAAGAACATTGTGTACATAGAAACACTGCACGCGTTTAAAACACGCTAACAGTTTATATGAACTAAAGTTGGCTGCTGTATTCCATATGACAGTACATATGAATAAAACCTAAGAGCTTGCAGTACAACAAAAGAGTAAAAGTGTTTTTCTTAAAAAGATATTGAACTGTCTTGATGGAAAAAAACAAAAACAAAAACAACCCCACCACTCTGCTTTTTCCTTGTCAGGCTGCAGCCTCAAAAAAAGCAATCAGTCCATCTTGATCACAGCCATCCAGAATTTCCAGAAGAAGAGGAACTTTAGTTTTCACATTGGTGCCTTTAAATTTAAATTTATCTATGAAGAGATCTGTGATCATACCTGCAAAGGTAAAATCCCAGGACTTAGTATTTGCCTTGTTCTCATTACGAGGTATCTCTACTTTTAACTCGTTACTATGTACCAACTAATTGAGTTGATTCTGGGTTTAGAGACAAGACTCTTAAACTTCATGTTTTAAACAATGATTTAGTTTTAAACAAACCCAACCCACTGTTAGAACAGCCCAGAGTCCAGCTCCATTCCCAAGGGTGTATTTCTGCCTTAGAACTACCCACATTGGAAACACTAAAGAGACAGGAACTGTCACAGGATGGCTAACGAGGACTCTGCTTACACTCTATGTACATGGGCTTATTAAAGCTGGTGGCAGCAGAGATTCCCTGAGCCGAAAGCTGTATGGGGAACACCAGACAAGGTTACAGAATTCCCTTCACTAAATTACATCATCTTCTACGAGTCTCCCTTCCCACCCCAGGTGCGTTTTTCTGACCTTTTGCAAACCTTAACCACTCAGAACTCAATCACTCATTTAACTTGTATACATTCTTAAATGCCATCCTGATTTTGAATACAATCCTTAATCATGTCCATAAAGAGAAGGATCATCCAAACAGAAGAAACTGTGTATTAAACAAAAACTAGGAACATCACTCACAAATATTGCTGGCATTTTCATGCTCAGCGATACGCTTGTGATGCCAAATCAATTTTAGAAGTTCTCGGGTGAACAATTCTTGAGAACCTTTAGAGAGTTACTCAGAGTTTGTAGCAACATATAAGCCATTTTCAGTATGTGCTGGGTTTTACTGCCTCACCTGTAACTTCAGATTTTTATGATCAAAAACGTTACGTAAATACACAGCCCTGGCTGTATGACCAGACAGATATATATACTTACATCCCTATTGTTGTCCTGAAGCTTCCCAAGTGTACCCACTTACCAAATTATTTCAGTTCTGCTAATACTGACTTCATAACCATTTCAGTCATGTCCAGTATGCTCTCTGGACATTAAGTTGCATTTAAATAAAAACTTGAATTGATCGACAGACCATAAAGTCTCTCAAGATGTGCAGGTTGTCTCTTGTATTCCTCAAGCAGCTGGTCTGCCTCTTCCAAAATGCTGCGGTACTTTGGTAGCAGGAAGTCCACATTTCCTTCATGAACTTGTAATTCCTCAAAGACATTTTAAACCATAAGAATTAACAGCAGTTAAGCATCACAGGAGCATAGAAGTAAGAAATTAAGCTTGGGTCTGACAGGAAGAAGTACTTCAGAGACAAGACAATCCCCTTCTAAAGCTAGCAAGAGTTATTTTTGAAGTGCCTCATTTTCTAGTCTTCTAATGAAATGCCAGATGTGACTTGTCACCTCATAGACTAGATTCTCAAAACTCTGTGTATGACAGCTTCCAGCTCTGAGCGCTGCCACAACAGGGCCACACCACAGCACAGCCCCTACAGAATCAAGCCTAATCAAGTCTCAAAGCCTTCACCATGCCTTCATTTTTAGAGTAAGTACATTCCTAGAAAGTGCAGCACATGCTAAAGTCAGAAGGTGAAAAGTAAACTCTGAAAGTATCACCCAATTCGTGACAGCAAAAAGTTTTAAAAACCTCTTCTAAAACACCCCAGTCTACCGTCAGACCAATGTAAGACAGCTGATAGTATAGAACTTCTTATCCCCCACAGAAAGACTCTTCTTTTCCGGACGAAAGGTAATTATGTTATGCATCGTCCGTCTGCTGGGATCACAGCTTTCATCAATCATCAGATTATTTTAATGCCTATGAATAAGTTATTATCCAAAAAATAAGTGACAAAAATATTCATCAAAGAAGATTTGCTGCCTAAAAAAAAAGTCTAAAACAAGCAAGATGTGAAACATCATTATTATTGCACAAATATAACATGATTAAGAATAAATTCTCCGTTATTCTTTACCTCCCCAGTTTGCCAAATCAAACCAAGTAAAATACTTTTAGTGATAACGAAGATATACACTATGCTCATCAGCAGTCAGTTTTTCTACTAACTACAGAGTTCTGACAACTAGTATTTGATCCCCCCAAAGGACGAGAGACAATTGTTGTCCATTTTCACCTCCCCTTCCCCTCAAAACAAATAACAAAAGAGATGATGGCAAGTTTTTGATGGTAAAATCCTGGTTGCTGGAAAAAGCCCAAGAACTGAGACAAGCCACCTAACTGGTACCTCCCAAAGACTAACCGTTGAGGAGGGTATTAAGCAAAAGATTAATAAGCAGGTAATTCAGAAATTATAACACACTGGGATGAAGCTCCAAAGCAAGGAAGTCACATCTGGCCTGGAAGATCATCCCCAGATTTCAAAAGCTTTTAAAGGTTAGCGGACAGAGACAAAGGAGGAAGTGGAAAGTAACAGCAAGCAAAAAGAGCCCGTTAGATGATAAAGCTGGCTGCCTGCTGCTGTCCGATTTAAGCAGCCCCAAGATCAGTCAGTAATCCCACGTGTTATTCACTGGTTATATAGTACAAATGGGAGTCTTCCTTGAAAATGTTTGTCTCCTAGATAATTAAAATACATGTCCTAGGAATAGAAACAGAACAGATCCCAGTATGACACACATCTGACTTGAGCCCTACAGCTTGGTATCTGACAACATAATACCCCATAAAAATCCTTCCACAGGAGTTCAGGTACTTACTCTCAAAGCATCTATTAAGTGAACCTTCTTGGCCAACAGCTGCTGATACTCTAATTTAGGGTGAATAAGCTTTAATGTGTGCCTCACAGATTCTTCATTTACATCTAGTAGGGAGTAAAACAAAAAAAACCAACAAAAACCAACAAGCAAATGAATACTACATATTCCATTTATAAGAATACAAAATGAAGTCAAGGACAACAAAATAGAGAAGAAAGTTTTACCATATGATATGTTGAGATTAATCTTCCTTTTAGTAGCCTCTTTGGAAAGCACATCTTTTAGGATGGATATTGTAGAAATGTTGTCAGACTTGAAACATCCCTCACCTTTTCTATAAAAGAAGAAAAACTTTAAATGAACAAACTTAAACACAGAGGCATGCATTAGATTTGTCCCTATGTTAAAATGGAAGGCCTGTAAATTAATGCCCAAATGAAAGAAAGCAACCTCTATAAAGGTCACAACAACTCTCCACGTATCAGGTGGCTGTATACACTCCCACGCTATTCCCTCCTTCCCAGTGGAATCTCGACAGAGAACAGTTTGTTCCAGTAAATAAGACAAAGCAGCATACACAAGCCTCAGGTATACACAAAGCACTTATCTTTATCTTTATTGTACGGCACTGAGGTTATACATGTAAGATTTCTGTGCTATATTCATTCCTCCCAAGTTTTATCATTGCAATATCTTGAAGCCAAACAGCAAGCTTCAATACCAGATGGGAGAAAAACCCCTCTCCCCTTCACCTCAAAAAACCACCACCCAACAACTTTCTATGTTAGGAGGGGACAACACGTATGGTAGGCTGGGAGCAGGCTGGAATCTGTATAATCACAACAATGAATTTTTCCTCACTTTACAGATCCATTCTCAGGTAGACATATAATTTGCTGAAGGAAGACATAAATAATTAATGTGAGAATAGAGTATTAATCTTAAACACAGAAATAACATTTGCCTAATGTAAGTGGCAGAAAAAGGATGTTTTCAGCTTAATGCTTAACACATTTTTGTTTGTGTGAGTATTAAATGCCTTTTAAGTAATTCTGCTCCTCAATACAAAAAAAAAAAGGGAAGTTAGAAAACAATAGCCATTACACAATAATTTCACTATATTGGTTAGCTATGTTCTTTAAATTTTAAAAGCAAGTCATTATCTTAAAAATATATCAAGCCTTTCCTCCTGGGCAATTTTGGTTTTTGGACCAACTTCCTGAAAAACCTTATTCAAGTTACAGATTGCATCATTACTGTACAGCACTCATCCCTGGTACTGTTTGACAATCCCTTTTAGGAAAGATTCCTCTTCTCTTTAAGGGGAGTTTTGATGAGGCGGAGGGTGGAGAGGTAAACAGTAGTATCTACATGAAATGGTACTTGCAGACTGGTCAAGAATGAAAAAGACAAAAGCAGCAGCGCAGTCACATTGCACTTTAGTAATTGTATTTTACCTGTAAGTACTTTCAAGCTGTGTACCCAGGAAGGTGTTCTGAAAATAAAAGGTGACGCTCTCTCCAGCGGGAGTCTTTTCAGGCACCTCAGGCAAGCAAAACACAACCCACGAGTGAATTTCAGCAAAACTGAACTGGCCTTTGAGCATCAGTGTATTCATGGGTCTATGACATTATGAAATTAAAAAAAAAAAAAAAAGTTAATAGTTATGAAGGAGGGACACTGTCAGTGCAGTGGTTATCTATACGAAAAAAGTTTAGTTCCACACGGTGGTTTCCTTTTAATCAACACCATATAAAAAGGCACGTACCTTGCTAAATAGTTATGTATTGCAGATTACAGCTACTTTTCTGTATTTCAGGACAAAAAAGTTATGCGTACATTCATGTTTTATCTCCTAGTAGGCATGTCAGAACTGGACAAGAAACTAGTCAGAAGTTTTTGACATATCCCATTTCAAGTTGTTAAACCCAAAACTTAAGACCAAGGTAAATAACTGAGAACACAGCAAACAGGACTAAAAGCCTCAACAGTCTCCCATGCTGCAAACCACAGACATAGCATTTATATCAAGAACAAGGCATAACAGAGCTCATTTCCACACTGAAGCATTTGCACACAAAAGCATTTGGTATCATTCCTTCAGCCTGTCAGTTTTGTTTTGAAGCAAGCAATCCCCCTTGGTGGCAATACAAGATGTTAACTGAGGGTGGGGAAAAATCAAGTAGAAATTGCATAAAATACTAGGTTTCTAACAGAGAGATAAAGGGGAAGAAAAGTCTTGGCTCAGTTTTGGAGCCAAATTAGCTATGGGAAAGAATCACATTAAAAGGATGGAGGGGAGAACAAGGCTGAAACTGAAAAGACTGCAGTTACTAACACAGGAGAGTTTCCTTTCTACCACACCCTGAGCTCTACTAACACATGGGGCTGCACTATAACCCAGGTCAGCAAAATGAAAAATAACCTGAAAACAAGGATAAAGAATGGAAAGGAAAGCAGGAACCCATTAAATCTGTATTTTCTGTCACAAAACCCATAAAATGGAACTACAGGCTCAAAATCGTAGGTTAGGGGTTAGAAATGAATACTTAAGTTTATACAGTAAACATTGTTTCAACTGGATTGTGTCAGTTTTTCAAGAGAAAAAGGCATTGATTTTTCACTGCAAATACCTGTCATAGTCAATAGAATGAGTCCTCTGATGAAGTGAAAGAGGTTTAATTTGATATTGATGAACTTGGCAGGTTTTTGGTTGAATTCTTGGAGTTACATATGCTTGAAGTGTCCCGTACTGTCCTTCAATTGATCGAACCTACAGATACAAAAACAGAACCCACAAAGAAGAAAAGGGAAAAGATTAATTTACCACAATTTGGAAAATTGATGGGTATTTAGAAAATGTTAAAGAAAGCCTGTAGTACTTCAAGAATATTTAGAGTATTTACTTGAAAGCGCCACTATAAATAGAGCAGATCAAAAATGTTTTAAAACTAGATGAAGTAGTGTCCAATGAAATGCTGCTATATTAGATGAATGAAATATTAAGAAAATAAAAGTCACTGATTTACTTTACGATCACTTAAAATAAAAAGTCTGTAACTAGCTTCTAATTTTTCAGTGGCCCCATTACTTTTTTTTTTTTAAAAAGTAAGGAAAAAATACATTCTGTAGCAGCTGGCAGCGAAGACTAGACCAAAGAATTTAAAAGAGTAAACTCAATTTCAAAATATGTGTTCGTCTCTTCATAACAATCAAAGTTCTTCCTGAGCTATTTTTGGAAAAGGAAGAGGCCAGATTTAAGTTCAAGTCTCAGAATATCCCACAAGCAGAATGTACAAACACGTTCAGGATGCGGTACGCACTCTCCACACCTCTGAGGACACAGCAATGCATCAATCACTTCTCTGCTGAGACCAGTTACACAAACTGCACTAAGAATTCTGCCACCCACACAGAATTGACAAGAAACTGGAGCATCCCACTTACAGCACCAACACAGCCGCAAAAGTAGGCAGAAGAGGTACTGAAACAAGTTTATACCAACAAACGAGCAGACTGGAGTTCAAGTACAGGTTTGCTTTATAACCTTGATTATGTCCCCTATTCTATAGGGTCTCAGAACTCAAGAAGCAGTGTTTTGCAGAAAGACATCCACTTCAATGTTTTTAATAAAAAAAACTAGTAAAGAGATCTCTTTGGAAATAAAATCACCATGACTTAAAAGCAGTATTGTCTGCATGTGCATAGACAAAAGACAAGAAGAGAATGAACTCCACGTGGCAGGCATCAATCACTGGAGATCCTCAACGTATTGCAGCGAGGTGGCAGTAGAACCTGTGCATATCAAATCCATCACATCAGGATCCAAATGCAAGAGTAATAGTGCAGTGTTTTGATGACACACAACAGCAAGTTTATAAATGTTTTTAGTGGGAGAGTAAAAAAAAAAAAAACAAGCCACTTTCTGTGTATCATGAATGCATTTGATTAATTTTTCTTGTGTTGCTTTCATCTTAGGGACACTCGAGAAGGACCCCAGGCTCTCCTCTGAAATAACACATTTTTAGAAACCTTTAGAAACCCTACAGACACATATAAAGGAATACAAGCCCCAGATTAGAAGTTTCTCAGGAAACAACCAGCAGCAGAAACTGGACTGATACTTTGTTCAGGCTAAGCAGTCAGTCCAGGTAGAGATCTCTCCACTCCTAAGCAGACATCTACATAACCATTAATTTATTATGGAAAACACATTGGAGCATTTTACCTTGAGTTCAAGTCTTGTAGTATTTGCTTGGCATCGGTAAGTCGCAAGAAGAAAGTTGCTATTTGGCTGTAAATCGCAAAAAAACAGAAAAATTATACCAAACAGGCCTGTGGATTCACAAAAGTCAACTGAAGCCTCTTACAGTCTTTAATACAACAATAAAAATTACATAGGTATCTACTTTTCATTGAAGAACGCATGTCAGCCTGCCCCATTCATCTGCAATATTAGTCCAACATCCAAAAACTAAAGGCAGATCAAGTAAGAAAACAAAAAAACCCTAAATTAATCATCACACATGACAAGAAACTTAAAATAAAAAATTGATTTCTGAAAGCTTCAGGGTAGACCAATGATGTGCAAATTTAGTTCTTAAAACTAAAATACTCAGAGGACCGTTATAAGGAAAAAGACTTCACAGAAGATTTTCACAATGCTAAGGTAGTTTCTGGATTTTCCCCTGTCCCTAAGCATCATTAATAATTCTGTACATATTCAAGTTTATAATTATTACACAAAAAATGCACTTAAATGTATGAGTCCCCACAGAGCAGAATTTTCACGTTCTAAAGTGATTTTTAAGAGATGAACTAAGTAAGAAATACAACGTTCTTGTGATACATATGTGTATATCTTGTGATATTGATATGTGATACTGGCAAATCCAGAGAATAGAGCAATACCGAACGTGTCTTTCACATTCCCAATCAGGCAGGAAAAAAAGCATGAGAGCAGTTGCTCCTGGATCCTTTTGCACATATTTAGCTTTGCCTTACTTCAGGACCGGCCACTAACTCCTAATTCTGCAGTATCTCTAATGAAGCCGAGCTCTCCAAAATTACCAAATGAATAGTTCAACTCAGTATATTTAAAATTACAAATATATAAATCCAAATTCTATTTCTAACATACAATATTAAGAGCTTTCATCATGTGATGTCTATAACTATTATCTCTTTTGTTTCACTTACCTCAGAATCACAGCTGCTAAAACTAACAACAGCCGAATTTTTATCCACATCCAGCAAGTCTATTGGGACATCACTCTGCAGAACATGAGGAAGGAAAAATAAAGAGCTTAAATTCCTGAGTAGCTTCTAATGCATTTATCCTCTAACTGTCATCAATTATTTTAATAAAGGAAAAGCAATGATTGCTTCATCCAACAGGTAAAAGCCTAACGGACACAGAGCTTACTACTTAATCCCAGGGTAACATGATGATCTTTCTCTTCTTCTCCTGTGGAGTCTTGAACTCTTGTGTGGCTGGCTTACAACAACTTCAGTACAAGATGCTTAACTATTTTTCACACATAAAAGTATATTCACATCTTTCAGACATGGAAGTACACTTCATTCATATGCAAGACGTATAGTCATGATTGAAGCATTTCCCTATTTTAATAGGGGGGTTACAATATTCATTCAAGAAACCAAGGATCATATTATGTAATTATGAATGACCCTTTTACTTACAGCAACACTTCTGACAGACCACTTATCTCGATGTGTTTTCACTGGATTAAAATTAAATCTAACACTATTTTTAAAAGGAGATTAAAGAGTATTAGAATGATTAATTACTTGATTTGGTACTGCTTTATAACTTCACAGAAGTGTCAGGAAATGTTGATAAATATGCAACATGCTTCCCAAAAAGATATTTCTAAGATAGTTTTACTGTCTTCTTACAGCAGAGGAATAGCAGATACCATTTTATATTTCTTTAAAGAAAAAGCCCTAAGTTCTAAACTCTACATTAAGTTCAGAGCTAGATTAAACAATTTCGTTATTCCTCACTTAGCTACGGAAACAGTAGATACTGTAGAACTGCAAATTAGGTGTAGCTTTAGCATTGCTTTAATAACAACCTTAAAAATAAGAGTTTTATTAAGAAATAAAAAATAAAATCGTACAGTAGTTCTCCTCCATTTGTTATGGCAAATTCACCTCACAAATTCCTCCTTGTCAAATTTTTCTTCCCATGCATAAAGAAAGTAATTCAGTATCACTGACTACCAAAGATAACATTAATTTCTGCTGACACAGTAGGCGGAATAACTAATTAAAGTTGCCTTACTTGGCAGTAGTATTTATCACCAATTGCACACAAATCAGATGCTGTTCCACACTGAAAGGGCACAGGTGGCCCATACCATTCTAAAATTAATTTTCCACTACAGAGGATACTTAACTGGCGAGTGAGAATCTGCACCTCATTTAAGATTTACTGAGTTAATTGCTGTTTAAATGAGGAGAGACAGGCAAAAGCGAACACAAAAGCTATGTAGAAACCTGCTAGTACATCAGGCATTTTGGTCTGTTTTGGTGGTGTAATGTTGCTCTGTTCAATACAGGTTTAAGTTGTATTTGTTCCCTAACAAGCATTTACAAGTCACTTCAACATTGCAAGGCTATACACTTCAATTCCCTCTTATAACAATTCAGACATTTAAAACCCCATATACTTAAGATACTATAACTCAGCTTTTTAAACCAGTCTCTGAATGTTTTATTTAAATACCAAGAAAGCCAACAAGAACAAAACACATTCACCTGTACCAGGACATTATCTATAGCTGTCTGCACCTCCAAGATGAGGCTGTAGCTAGCATCATCCTTATTTAATGTAAACTTATCATTCACACTAAATGCAGGTACTGATGAAACAGCAGTACTGGACTGAGAAGACTGCTGGTATTTTTCACGTTCCTGAAGTACTTTCATCTGTAAGTGTTCCAATTCATTCCTAGAAAAGGGAAACCACAGATATCTTAAAAAAACAACTATAAAAGCTACCTCAGAAATTAAGTAGACGAAGCTTTCAAGGCAATCATGTTTTATCTTCTGTCTGTAATTTTCCAACCAGAAGTGACTGGTGACTCCCCTTCCACATACATACCGAAGATAAAATATAAACTATGTTACATGAAAGTGTCGATTCTACGGTACTTTGCCCAAAGAGATTTCGATGAGTCACAGGAAAGGACAACTTTTTTCCTTTAAGAGTACACTAGCAACTACTTTCCTCCCATCATGCAGAAGCTATAAGCAGCATGGAAGAATGTAATCTTATCTTGCTGATACTGAGGAAGAAGGCATTAAGACATCAGCATGTGAAGGCAAAACAGAAAGAGACTGTGAAAAGAGGCTGCTACTCATTTCTACTTTGAAAAGCTTGATTCTACTTCTAGACACATTAATGATACAGAAACCCCAGTGAGATAGGAAGGAAAGACGACATCCCAGCTTTTAATATTTCAATTTTTTCATTTAAATTTCTTTCTAGTGCAATTACCTTAAGGATGAAATCTTGCTCTGCATTTCTTGACTTAATTTTAGTTCTTCACCTGATCCACCTTCTCTATGGACAGGTTCTGTAGTCAGTCCTGTCAGCCAGCCTAAACCAATATATGAAGTTTATATTCCTTATAAGCTATAAAGAAAAGTCTACACTCAGCTTTTGTATGTGTGGAGAGATGTTTGTTCCAGACACTGGGTAGAGAGAATCCAGACTTTAATCCTTTCTTTGGAGGATTAATCTAGACATGTGAATTATTTTTTTATGGGTTTCATTCTTAACTTACAGATTGGAAAACATTACTTATTCTTTTTCATTAAGTACTTCAAGCAATTAATCCCTCTGCAGGTTTTTAACCAGGTACCTAAATTTTTTCCCACCTCTGTTTCCCTGACAAAATCTTGAATAGTTTGCAGTACTATAGTTCAAACCAAAACAAAAAAAAGCTGTGCAAACAGCATGTATGTTGCACAGTGTGCTTTGAGACTGAATGCTGCCAGTTGAAGTGAAAAAAAATCATCTTTTTGTTTACTTAATTACATTTACTTATAAAAGCAGGTACTAACTGATTATATCCTGACACCTCAGGTATGATATGCAGACTTGAATGGGTGTTGATAGCTCTAGTTACCCCCTCGAATGTATGCAAACAGTAAGATCGCATTACTATAAGATGCTCCATAAAAGCTGACATGTCCACAATCTTTCACATTCCGTAGCTATCTACTTCAAGTACCAAGAAAGTCCAATTACAGAGCATGAACTTTAAAAACCCCACAGAAGTCCTATGCTGCCAGGCTTCAAATGTAACTTTTACTGCTCTAAGCAGTGCTTTTCCTGACCTGCCAAAATCTGCCACTCGCAGTCTACTGCACGTCCTACCAGAGTTTACCTTTTAAAGCCCACAGGTGAAGATGGGCTGTCACTTTTTCCTTTCTTCTATGATTCACGGATCTTTATAACATTCCCACTAAAAGAAGTCACAAAGGACTTTGGCCACAGTATTGTTGCAGCCTGTCATACCAAAACAATTCATAGGAGGCGAGGTATAAACAGTCTTGTAATCATCCAAAGACTATTTAAAAGAGGTACTTGAACACCATTACTTCTCAATAACTGACTGAGAATTGTATCTTACCAAAATACATGATTTTGAATAGGAGATGTTTCAGTAGGCTAATTTTTTAGCACTGAAGATATCCAAAGATAGAGAATTGGCAATATTTTAGATTCCAGCAGTTAACATATGCAGCATGTTTATCATGGCCTCTCTGACAGTTAGGTCAATAGCTCAAATCCTACAGAGGGGCTGCTGAGACACCTCACAGGGGAAAGCTTTATTTTCTAATAAAAGCAAAATCAACCCCATTTAAAGCCCTATGAAGCTGAAAAGGAAGGAAATTCTGTAAAAGACAGGAAAACAAAAAAAAACAGATATGCATATCTATCAATATTTTTAATACAAAAAAAATCATAATTCTTTCGGACATAAGATATTCATTATTTCATCACAGTTAGGCAGCAGCCTACACCAGAGAATAACCAGCCGCTGTGTTACACAGAGGAACACATTATAAATACCTTAAAATATAAAACCAGAGTTTAACTGTAGGAACACATTTTTGACGTGTAAATATTAAATTAGAAGAGATCTTTTCAACAAAACATTATCCTGGTTGCAATCAGAACAAAAATTTTAAGAGATGTGAGCTGCGCTAATAACATAGCCTGCTTCATTTTTATCACATCACCATATGTGACATTTATTGAGTAAATGATATGAAGCTTACCTGAATATGTGGATGCTAAAATTTCATCATACCCGTCTTTTCCTACACAGCCACCCTGGATCGATGCAATGCTCTCTGATAAAGCCTTCAAATAAATACATTCAAGCAGACAGATATATCACTGCACTCATTTTAGAAG